GAGGATGTGTTGGGGGGGGGAGACAAGCTACAAAGGGGGTGGGGTGGGAATCTGAACAAAAGTTGGAGAATGAGAGAGAAAAAGTCATCAGACATGAATGTTAATGCAGCCCTGAGGAGGGATGATTTGAACAGGAAGGCCTCTCTGAAATCTGAACACCTATTTTAAAAAAAGATCTGGATTTTAACTATTTTGACTCCCCAAAACTCTTTTCTGAGAGCCGGTTCTAGTCTACCAAGCCAGCTGGGCCTCGCCTTGGGCTAGCCACTTCCTCTCGGCCCTAGGAAGAAGACGATGGTAAACCACTTCTGAAAAACGTCTGCCGAGAAAACGGCAGGGACTTATCAAGGCACCCTTGGAGAATCGGACACCATTGACCAGTAACACACACGAAGTTTCAATAAAAGGAAAACCGAGAAAAGACAAGTGTACAAAACATGTCAGTGAGATCTAGTAGCATAGTTAGCTGTAAGAGCTCTGAGGTAGGAAGGGCCCATTCCAGACCTTCTAAACCAAAGATACACAGCCTTTTCCTCCTAAGGATATGTTTGTGTGTGCTTGTGTGCTCAGAGTTCGCAGAGCTGTAGACACTAACCTCTAGTTTATTAAGACCAAGTAGGGGTTTTGCAACAGACTTTCTGTTGCCCCTCTGGCATGTATCAGATGCGATGGGACCCAGAAGGCTAGATAGAATAGTTAAGGTACTTTCCCCCATTTGGGTACAAATCATGATGAATATAGAGTATTGACTGTAGAACAGGGGTCCCTAACCCCCGGTCCGTGGACCAGGACCGGGCTGTGGCATGCCAGCAACCAGTCCACACAAACAAGCAAAGCTCCATCCACAGGATGCAGGCAGCACACAAAACCACGCACCCTCCGGTCCACGGAAATACTTCTCTCCAAGTAACCGGTCCCTGGTGCTCAAAAGGTTGGGGACCTCTGCCGTAGAATGTACATGTACCAATAGTCCTCGACTTACAACCAATCATCTTGCAACTGCTCGAAGTTACAACGGCGCTGAAAAAAAGTGACTTATGACTGGTTCTCACACTTCACCGTTGCACCATCTTCAGGGTCACATAATCAACATTTGAGCACTTGGCAACCGGTATGTATTTACGATGGTTGCAGTGTCCTGGGGGGGGGAATCACCTGATCGCCATTTGTGACTTTCCAGCCAGTTTCTCACAAGCAAAGTCGATGGGAGAAACCATGTTCGCTTAGTGACAACTTAGCAACAGAATATCCGGTCCCGGTTGTGTTCCTGAATCAAGGAAAGATTTAATCTGAATAGATTTCCCAAATCTGGTTATTCTGCATTTTTTTTTTTTTTCAGCAACCGTTAAGTGAATCACAGGATCATTCAAACGGATCCGGTTTCCCTGATTGACTTTGCTGGTGGGAAGCAGGCTGGTAAGGCTGGGATTGGCGATCACGTGACCCTGGGCACGCTGCAAAAATGCCAGGGCTGGTTGTCACTTTTTTCCAGTGCCGTTGTACCTTCGGTCAGTAAATAGATGGTCATAAGTCGAGGACTACCTATCGGTATATCATGGTAACAACTTCCCGAATGCCTTACCACACTGGTTTTGGAACCTCAGCAACTTTTAAGATGCGTGGACTTTTAACTCCTAGAATTTCCTAACAGGTATGTCGGCTGGGGAATTCTGGGACTGAAGTCTACACATCTGAAAAATTGCCGACATTGAGAAACGCTCTTCTAGGGAGTAAGAATTAATCCAGAGGGAAAATGTTATAAAGTGTTCGGCGAGATAACATACAAAAACGACACTATGGCTATATAGCAAGGGCTCATGTAAGACGTTAAGAGCTGAATGCACTCAGTGTGGACTGGCAGTTACCCAAGCAAAGATGTGCACCTTATCCCAATTTTGGGCAAAAGAGGTGGGTTCAGAAACAAAGACGTTATATGCCAGATCATCAGACCTGGCTTGCTTCAGCACCAGGCTGACAACTCTGTGATAAATCAGCTGCCAGCCGCTGGGGCTGACTCCCGTGGCTTTCCATAACATGCAGCCACACGGATACTAAACAGGAACAGTTTCTCACTTACTTAAGATACAGAAGGATCTGGACAGACTTGAACACTGGGCACTATCTAACAAAATGAAATTCAGTGGTGAAAAAAGCAAGGTTCTACGTTTAGGCAAGAAAAACCAAATACACAAGTACAGCATAGGTGGCACCTTGCTCAATAGTAGTAACTGTGAGAGGGACCTCGGAGTCCTAGTGGACAATCACCTAAATATGAGCCAGCAGTGTGCTGCAGCTGCCAAAAAGGCCAACACAGTGCTAGACTGCATTAACAGAGGGGTAGAATCAAGATCACGTGAAGTGTTAATACCACTTTACAATGCCTTGGTAAGGCCACACTTGGAACACTGCATCCAGTTTTGGTCACCGCGATGTAAAAAAGATGTTGAGACTCTGGAAAGAGTACAGAGAAGAGCAACAAAGATGATCAGGGGACTGGAGGCTAAAGCATATAAGGAACGGCTGCTGGAATTGGGTATGTCTAGTTTAATGAAGAGAAGGACGAGGGGGGACATGATAGCAGTGTTCCAATATCTCAGGGGTTGCCATAAAGAAGAGGGAGTCAGGCTATTCTCCAAAGCGCCTGAAGGCAGGACAAGAAGCAACAGATGGAAACTAATCAAGGAGAGAAGCAACCTAGAACTAAGGAGAAACTTCCTGACAGTTAGATCAATTAACCAGTGGAACAACCTGCCTCCAGAAGCGGTGAATGCTCCAACACTGGAAGTTTTTAAGAAGAGACTGGACAGCCATTTGTCCGAAATGGTATAGGGTTTCCTGCCTGAGCAGGGGGTTGGACTAGATGACCTTCAATGTCCCTTCCAACTTTACTATTATTACTATTATTATTATTACTATTATTATTATTATTATTAATTATTATTATTATTATTATTATTATTATTATTACTTTGAAGCTGGAGCAGAAGGGAAAAAAGGTAGCTAACCTAAGAATATTATATGCTCTCATCATCTCAGTGGGGGAAAAGCTGCACATCTTGGCTGTTGCCGGATGTGCCTGTGAACAGCAAAAAAAAAAAAAAGGAGAGGAACAG